TATTTGAAGAGCTGAAAGATTCGCGACGAAGCAAACAAACAGTACCCTGTTCTGTAAGAGATGAATATCTCTTTTTCGTTTAAATCTTTAAAAAAATTTAAGAACCATGGCTATTTGTTACAATGTTTTTCGCTAGGCATAAGGCGTTCGGGTTTGAAGAACCATGGCTGTTTGTTGTAGGGTTTAGTAGATGTACAGGTAAGATACAATGGAAGGTTTTGGATTTGAGGAATCTCACTTGGCACGAGATACCGACTATGCCTTGTAGAGACAAAGTGTGTCCTCATGGATTTAGATCGGTTTCGATGCCTCGGGAAGGTACTATGTTTGTATGCGGTGGAATGGTTTCAGATTATGATTACCCTCTTGATGTGGTGTTGAAGTATGATATGGTGAGGAATCATTGGACTGTTACAAATAAAATGATAACTGCAAGGTCGTTTAAACATGAAAAAATATCAACCACAATTGTACCCTCTCACATTCGGAATTTAGAGGGGAGGAACATCAATAAACACTCTTTGGTCTATATTTTCTGAAACACTTCTTGCAAAATACAGTTCCAAATTTAGAAGAGTTTTAGACAATATTACCACTTTTGAGATACCTTCAGGTTCTAGCAGTTCTAATTTCATTTCTTGAAGAACTCGACACGACATGACCAGTTTTGCAAAAGCTCTGTTAGTTGTATGATCGAGTCTATTTAGCTTCAAAATCCTAGGTCTTGGCATTGAGGTCTCCACCTCCTCCAACCGAGCATGATCTATACATGACTTGATTCATATTGGACATGTACATATTGATTCACAAAACCGGTTACTATGGTTGAAATAACATGGAAATCGTTGATTTTGAGTCGACACCAAGTAAAGGAAAAATGAAAAAGTGCCAACCGCGAAACACTAACCATTGAGAGAATCATTATTCATCATGTACATATCACCGAGGAGATCTAATCCAAAACATTGATGATATGGATATCGGAAGAATTGTTTTGACAATGATATAAAAGATATTTCATAAAATTAAAAATAAACTAGTTCAATTTTCTGAAAAAGTGATCGAGTTGCATATAAACCACAGATCTCACGAAAANCGAAGATGTAATAAAAAANNAANNNNCTATATCTATACATATATCGGTACACATGAAGATTATTTTAGTCTAAAATTCTCATTAATTTTAAACTATAGATGATAATTTTAAATTGGAAGTACCAACATGATTGCGTCTTCTTCTCCATTCCTAGTTTTTACAAAAAAAAAAAACATTGGAATAGCTGAAAGATTTGCGACGAAGCAAACAAACAGTTTCCTGTTCTGTAAGAGATGAAATATCTGCTGTTCGTTTAAATCTTTAAAAAAATTTAAGAACCATGGCTGTTTGTTACGACGTTTTTCGCTAGGCGTAAGGCGTTCGGGTTTAAAGAACCATGGCTGTTTGTTGTAGGGTTTGGTAGATGTACAGGTAAGATACAATAGAAGGTTTTGGATATGAGGAATCTCACTTGGCACGAGATACCGGCTATGCCTTGTAGAGACAAAGTGTGTCCTCATGAATTTAGATCGGTTTCGATGCCTCGGGAAGGTACTATGTTTGTATGCGGTGGAATGGTTTTAGATTATGATTACCCTCTTGATGTGGTGTTGAAGTATGATATGGTGAGGAATCATTGGACTGTTACGAATAAAATGATAACCGCGAGGTCGTTTTTCGCTAGCGGTGTGATCAACGGGATGATGTATGCAGCGGGCGGAAACGCTGCAGATTTATTCGAGCTCGATTCTGCGGAGGTTTTGAACCCTTTGGATGGGAATTGGCGGCCTGTTTCGAATATGGTTACACACATGTCGTCTTACGATGCAGCGATTTTAAATGGGAAGCTATTGGTAACAGAAGGATGGTTATGGCCGTTTTTTGTATCTCCGCGAGGTCAAGTTTATGATGCGAGGACGGATCAATGGGAATTAATGGCGATGGGGTTAAAGGAAGGATGGACTGCAAGTATCGTGGTTTACGATCGGTTGTTTGTAATGTCGGAATTAGAGAGAATGAGGATGAAGGTTTATGATTCGGTTACGGATTCATGGGAGACGATTAACGGACCAGAATTGCTCTGGAGAGTTGGAGCGGATGAGAAGTAATCGGAGATGATTGAATCCATGAAAGACAAGTATAAAGGAACAGAGAAAGCTCTTGTTTCTGTCGGAATTAGAAGAAGAAAAGAAAAAAAAAACATGAGTGAAATTCAGTACCAAAGAACAAAATTGCAAAAGTCGCATTAGATTTACCAAAAATAAACGAACATGGAGATGGAGTTAACAAGGATTATCACAGATCGACTAGAAATGTAGAGAAGAAGAATCAAAATTCAGTATTAAAAGGAATGAACAAGTACCTGTCAAGGCAAGGAATTTCACTGGAAACTCGTCCAAGAGAAATTAATCCCCAAATCGGTAAAATCAGAAATGAGAGCAAAACGAACCACAAAACAGATAAAAGAACGAATCAAGTTTGAAGTTTCGTCAAGGGGATTTGTGTTTCGGTGAGGATCGAAGAACATAATAAGTT